TAATAAACTCCATCTTGGAACAGAAATGAATTTCTATCCCAGGAATGTGAGTTATATACCTCTTAGTTCAACCCCACTACTTTCATTTTACCCCATCCACTGCTTTATAGCTTCTTAACTATTCAACTAATTGGTTTATATTGTACAATGCGATCATGGATGATAAATTAGATGATAAGGCAATTAGCAGGTATATTATTTCTATCTTCAAATTCCAATCGTACATCAACTGAAGTTTGCTTGAGAAACTCATTTATTCTGAAAAATCAATAACATTTAGAGGAGTCAATGATTTAAAAATTTGTAGCTTCAATATGGGTTTAGAACATAGAGATATAAAAATGGAGTGCGCAAACCTGTACAATTTCCATGTTATGCTGCGATAAACAAATAGAAGAAGCCAGATGCAACTAGTGGGCCATGCCTTCCTTCTTGTCTTACTAACTCTGAAACATCAGTGAAACAAGAATGGGAAAGGGGCCTACAAATCGCATCTGTCTCTTTCTGTCCAACGCATATAATCTGTCGTTTTTTCGAGCCTCTTGCGCACTCTATTCTTATATCTCTATGGTTTAGAATCTCTTCCACAGTGATCGAAATAACATGCAGAGTTTTTACGTTTATCTTTTCTTTCTGTTTGAAATCCGACAATTACATATCGTGGCTTCTCTAATTATGTTGCTGGTTTTATTTTCTACATGACTCTTGTACTTGACGGAATTAAAGGATACCAAAACATATCCCATGATCGAAAACTCATAGAAATTAGTGGATCTTTCTCAATAAATTTCAATAATTTAATTTTTTTAAAGAAACCAAACTTTCCATGGCAGTTGTATGACCAACATACTTGCGGTTCCATCAGCATTAGTCAACCTTCCAAAAATATGTAGTGCACTGTTGCTTCGTAAAAAAGATAAATTTCGATTTTCTACAATAATGCGAATTTCATCTTTATTGCAGATGACTTCGAGTTCTTCCCATTCAGTAAACATGAACAAGTCGTTACACCTAAAGATGCAAAACCAAATTCAATTTTCATTTTTGATGATATCGCTTGTGAGAAGCAGGACAATGTTAAGGCGTTTTTTTGTATGGGGGCGACATGTTAATGTTGATAGTTTTTATCTATGTCAAACATATGCTCATATTTCAAAATATCTTGTTAGAGATAATATTAAGGGGGTCACCCCGTTTGATAGGTTCGAAAATTCGATTTTTTTTGTTTTGCATAAATTTCATCTATAACATATGTAGAATATGTGGGTAAAGCGATTTTTTTATATACAACGTCCTTAAAAAGTTATAGCACTGATATGCCAGTTTGTTCAAGCGCGCGGTTAAGCGTACTTCAACTTTCAAACGCATTTTTCTCGAAACTACTTTTTTCGAACTGGCGTCCATGATATCTCAGAAACCACTTGACCGATTTTGATCAAATTTACAGGGCATGTTCAGCACATGTGTAGCTATCGCCCAAACTAGGATAATTAAAAAAGGTCAAATTGTTTTCAGTCGGGGTAAATAGAAACAAGAGGTAAATCGAAACCACGAAGTAATACTAAGGAGTACTATCTACCTGCATTTTGTCGTCTGCTAGTGGAACTAGTGGGCTTCCAAAAGATCGCAAACTATCGGAAAGCGGAATGAACTGACACACTATTCGAGCATGCGCAGTGATGAGTAGACATATATATAGATTGTTGCGTGTAAATGTATCGATTATGCGAATGTATCATGAAGTTCGTGTTCACGTAATATATAATATACAGATACTGTGATTATATTAAACTCGTAAAGTTATTGTTTTGTTTTTCTGTGGTACTTATGTAAAAATCTTTTTGTAATAAAGTAAGTATTTTTTTGTTCATCATTTTTCATCACGTATTCCACCAATATTAGTGCAACATAACCAAAAATAAATGTATATCGCAGCGAATATTTATTTACATAAGACACATAAAACTAATTTTAAACATTTTTATAAAATTCATTTTTTGTAGTATAATGAACATTATTGCAGAGATGAAGTGTTTCATACTTGGATGCAAATCAGAGACAAGAGGAGTAGAAAATGTGAGAAAAACTACTCGAAAAGGAGTGTGTTTAAGCCTCGATCAGTGAGTAGAATGTTTTATTTTAAAGAATTATTGTCTAAGTAAATAAAATCATAAATAAATAAGTAAAAATATTTACCGAAACTTCATCTGATTCTTTTTAGGATGTTTACCGAATTTTAGAAGTAATATTTAACAAGATTTTATCGGATTTTGGTTTACTTTTTAGTATATATTTAACGGATTTTTAGCGGATTTTATATGCAATATATATATCGACATGTTATCGATTTCTTTTAAAATTTGAATGAAATGAAATGAAAATAAATGTCTTTATTTTCACAGGAAAAGATGTTAAAGGCTTGGCAGAAAGCTATTCCAAATCAGAACAAAGAGTTTAAATCAAACCATGTTCTCTGCGAGATTCATTTTCCATTTGAGGATACTGAAAGGGAACGTATAATTTATAAAAAAATGGAATAGTAGACTGAGTGCCAAGAGAACGTCCTTTACTGAATGAATATGCAGTTCCTAGTATTTTTCCTGTAAATCTAATATAACCTGTAAAATCCCCTTACGCGGTACAGATAGATTTGCAAGTAAATTTCACGGAAATGTGTAATAAGAAATCTAAAGATTTGGAAATTAAAAAACCTACCAATATTGAAAAGGAGAAATCTTTCTTTGAACAATTAGAAGCGTTAATTCTAAATTGTAAAGAAAATTACACCATAGAGTGTCCATTCAGTGGCGAGGACGGTAGGGAGTCAAAAGTTCCAAGCCCAAAAGTTCCAAAAAGTTCTTTTTCCCAAAAGACATTTTTCCCAAAGTATTAAAAGTTCCAAAATTGTTCAAAAAATATAATAATAATAATAGTGCAAACCGATACTCAGCTAATCTCATTGGCATCATTCAGTTGTTTTTACAGGAACATTTTAGTGTCAAATTTAAAGTAAATAACATCTCTTGGTAAAATATAGTGTAGTTTAAATAAAATTAAAAATTTGAAGTGAAGAAATAGATTTATTGAAATGGCTCAAATAATAAGAAAAGGTAGAACTGGTGTTTTAGAAGTGGATGGATTTTTGTATTACAAACACTCGGAGGCGAAATCTGTGTATTGGAGATGCAAAAATAAAAAAACGTGTTATGCTCGAGCAATTACTGTTAGCGATGGCGACGCATGTTGCGGCAATAATATTTTAATGAAACGTTAATTAAAAATTAATATTTAATCTCGTAAAAAAACAATTTTTCTTTCTATAGATTTTTTTAAGGGAAGATGAAATTCATTTGCCTGATTTCAAAACCGTCAACAGTGTAGAACGATGTCGTGAACTTCTCGATATGATGTCAACGATCGAGCCTCGTGTAAAAATGGATTTTATAACAGGATCACGACATTGTCTTGGTTTCGTGACAATAGACTACAAAAAATCCCCAGATCCAAAAAAAAGAAGATGCAATTCTTGCATTAAATTTTGCGATAGCAAAAGGAAAAGAGTATCTGAGGCTAAAAAGAGAGAAGTGGTCCGACAACGGATAAATAAATTGCAAAGCCAAACGAGGAATTTGTATCGACAAAGAAGTTAGAAGTTACCAGTGGATTTATGAGTGCTTATTGAACAAGATCAAAAGCAGAGAAACTTACTATCATTTACGAAAAAATAAAATCCTCGTTTTACCTTCTATTAAAACTTTAGATAAATACATTAAAGGTATTGGAGGGACGTATGGCTTTTTAGAAAGCATGTTTAAAATGTTATCATTGAAAACATAAAAAATGGAACCATCGGACTTGCGTGGTATTTGTATTTCATATTTACTTTTTTATGAATATTTATGTATTCATTATACTTTATTGTAATTTTTATAATGCAGGTATGCTACTCGTCGACGAGATGAAATTGACTAAAACTTTGGTTTTTAATCGGAGTCGCTTAAGAGTAGAAGGGTTCACTGATTTAGGTGCTCATACACCAAAACACCAGGCTGGAAGAAAAGGAGATCACGCACTAGTGATAGTTTTTCAGCCATTCAGAGGTTAAAGGGTCCAGGCTCTAGGCTGCTTTTTAAGTCGTGGCAGTGCAACTGGAACAATTTTACATAAACTTTTAATGGAATGCATTGTTTTGGCTGAAAGAGCTGGACTACAAATTGATGGTATATCTTGTGCCTGTGCTACTTGGAATCGTTCCATGTGAGATCTTTTCGGTGTCACTGCGGAAAACCCGTTTCTGGAGCATATCACGGTTTCAAGACGTAAATTATGGTTTGTGTCCGATTTTCCTCATCTCATTAAAAACTTCAGAAACTTCATATGCAAGTATCAGGATGGCTCTTACACTTGGGTAATTAAATGAAATACCATTACGGTTCATTATACGTATTAAAATATTCTTATTAATGTTTGTTTTTAATGTTCTAGACGCCTGATGGATTTATATCGATAAAACATTGGAGAGCAATATTAGCTGTAGAAAATCCAAACGGGTACAATTGAAAAGTGAATTTCAAGTTGCGCAATGAACACATTAATCCGCAATATTTTCAAAAAATGAATGTCGCCCTTGCATTTCAAATGAGTCATAATTCTCTCAAAATATATGTTAATTGTTAAACAAAATATTTATGCATTTATTTACGTTTTTGTTTTTAGTTTTTTGGAGTATCAGATTCGTTAGAAATGTTTAAAGAAAAACATTCCGATCTCAAGGATTGCAAACCATCTATCGATTTTTGCAAAAGAATGAAGAACCTTATCACGGCGATGAACTGTCGAAATCCTTTTGATTGGCTGAAGATTAAAAATAACCAGTGGACTGTAAGGAATTTCAATTTTTATTTCAAGATTACAATTTATTGAATTTACTTAAAAAATATTTTAAAAAAATTTTAATCAAAAATGTTAAATTGTTTTGAATATTAATTTTGTGGCAACCCTTTAATGTCGACAAATTCATTAATATTAATTTATCAAAAAAATTTTTTAGTTTATCGAGAATTTTTTGACGTATCCATATGTTTGGGAAGAAGGCTGTAAAAAAGAGAACTACGAAATATTTAGTAATTCTACACTTTAAAGATTGAAAGTATCTTTACGTGCAGCACTTGAAATAAGTAAATTTCTAATAGAGAACGATGGTTTTAAATATTTGATGACAGCACGATTGAATCAAGACAATTTGGAGGTATTTGATGTCTTTGTTTAATATTTACATATAAAACTTATCATCTGTCATAAGAAATAAGTGTACAATTATTTTGCAGCGCTTTTTTGGACTTATGAGAGGAGCATGTGGTTCAAATGACCACCCTGACTCGGCTTTATTTATTCAAATGTTCCGCTTAATATCAACTTATTCTTTGGTAAAACCTCCACGAGGATGCAATATTACGAGCGGAGAAGTGATGGATGCACTAGTGACTCTGAAGGACATCACAAATGAAGATAAAACACAAGAGAAATGGAACAATTTAGTGCAAACAGTCATTGCGAAAGGGCAGAATTGTGACGGAATCGCTGATGCTATAAACTTATTAGAAGACCATGACCAACACAAATTCACAACTTCAGATTATGTTATAGCATACATTGGAGGGTTTATTGCCCGCAAAGCATCGAAGTTTTTTAACTGCATAATAAAGAAAAAAGAGTGTTTTGTGATGAGAGCAAACAATCATTAATTTTAGAATCGAAAGACAGTGTTCCCGAAAAATACAAGTTAATAGACTTAAGAAATAGAGGTTTTTTGAAAGTATCCCTCGGTTCAACTTTTTGAACTAACGTCGTGCTTAGAGAGAGGAATATTAAGTGCTGTTCGATTGGGTCAATTACATTCTGACACATTGTTTGATGCGACCGAAGCAATACATGCGATTCCTTCAATTCAAGCACCTTGACACAAAAAGTAATAAGTTATTACTTGACGACTCGAATGTATTTTTTATGCAAACAAAGCAACAAAAACAATGATGCTCAAAAAATGAAAACACAGGAGAGGCGAAAATTGGCCAAGCTTTCCTTTGTAGTAGATTCAGAAGCCGACAAATCAATTACGAAATCCATACAGATAAATGAGATTCAAAATTTATTTGCGCCTATTGACATATCGGAAATATTTGAGCCCTTCAATACCACAAAAAAACAAAATGAAATGGAAAAAAAATCCACAAAGAGACGACGAGAAGCAACTTTAAAAGAGAAAAAAAAGTATGCAAAGAATCAAAGAAAACAAAGTTATTATAAAATAGAAAAAGAGAAACTTTACGGAAGAAAAAAGTATGCAAAGTATCAAAGAAAACAAAGTTAGCATATAATAGAAAAATTATTTTACACTGAAGTTTTAATTGTTGTATTAAATATGTTTTAACGAATTTAGTACAAAAGAGAACAAAAATTTATTTATAAAATTTTATTATAATAATATATAATTTTTTTAAAAATACTACCATGTTAAAAATGTTGTAACGAATTTAGTATAACATAGAAAAAATATTTATTTATAAAATATTATATACTATAAAAATATATATATATATAAAATATTTTAACTTATAAGTGAAAATTATACAACGTCTTATTAACATCTGTTTAGTTTATTTGTCTTGAATAAATATCTATTTTATACATCTTTATGAAATGTTTGGTAAAATTAATCATTTTTACACAATTACATTTAAAGTTTCACTGGTAAATACAATACGTAATGTAGGAATTAAAAAGTTTTTCATTAATCAATTTGCGGAAGTTTATGATAAACAAAGGTGTTTTATTATTTATCAATTATATTTTCTTTTTTCCAAGTTAAACAACCCTGAGATAATGTTAATTTATCAATAAATTCCATTAACTCACGCAAATGATTCATATCAAATACTGTGATGAATTTGGAAACAGGATGCAATTTATCATCAAAGGAAATATCTACATGTAAATCCGGAAATACAACCATTCTCTTTCTAACAATATAATCCATTTCGATCTTTTGAAAACCGAAAATCTCACCTTTGATTGCAGAATAACTCCAATTCTTATTGTGTAAATGAGTGTTATTAAACTCCTCTTCTAGTTTTTGGAAATTGAAATTGTACATGACCTACACGGCTTAGATTCAGCACCTGAAATGAAATATAAACATTTGTAAAACTTTCATAAAATATTATTTTGTTTTGTGGTAAAATATCGGTATAAGTAATGTCAAAAAGTACTCTAAAATAAATAGTTTAGAACAGATATAAAGTATAAAACAATTTTATATATATCACATTACTGTAAAACTTACCTTCATTTATTATTTTATCCATTTTTCTTTGTAGTTTCTTACAAATACACTGAATTATCTCTTATTAATACTACAACAAAAATGAACTTTGATTTTTTCATTTTACAAAATTTAATTAAAAATAGGAGACTGTTTCTATTTACCCCTAAAAACTGGAAATTCGGAGTAAATAGAAACAGAAATTTCAAAAATATTTCTTATATTAGAGAGAGAGAGAAATTTTCTATCAACTACAACACTATTTTCAGCATTATAAAAATACATGGAAAATAGTATTCATCTATATTCTCATCAGTACATAGTATTTAACAAATAAAAATTAAGGATTCTGGAGTTAAACGTCTATTTATTCTAGCAGCCGTTCCAAGTGCACAAGAAAATTATAAGAATGTAGATCAACTCTTTTTAACGTTGAATATAAGTCCTTTCGACGGCACAATTGCGACCGATTTGAAGCTAGCAAATATCTTGGCAGGTATTATGTCGCACAGTAGTATGCATACCCGTGCACTTATTGTTGTGCCAAGAAATATGAGCTAAGCAGCTGTGGCGAATTGAGAAAATGTTTCATCGTATAATACAAAACGCCTGACTGAAGGAAAAGGTTCAAAAAACAAAGCGAAAGATTACTTCTACTGCATTCATCCACCGCTAATTACAACTGCTGGAGGCAAAACATTTCCAGACATTATTCCACAGACAACCTTATATTAAAGGAAATGCATGCAAAACACTTTTAGATAAAGTAGACCTTCTGCGCCAGTTTAAAAATCTAGCAATACCTAAGTATGTTAAAGTATTTGACGACTTCAAAAAAGTAGTTTCTGCATGTTTCGGAAATAATCTTGACCAAAATTACAAAGCATGTATAGAAGCTTTTAAAAAGAGCTACATGGACTTAGGTGTCAGCGTTACACCAAAAGTTCATACAGTTTTTTTCACATAGAACAGTTCTGTGATAAAAACGGTGAAGGATTAACATTTTTTGTGGAGCAGGCGATGGAGTCCACATATTTTGATTTCTTAAAGTTTTCGAGGGAAATGAATAAGATTGCTGCGAATCACCCGGATTATCCTAAACACGTTTTGAGCGCTGTTTGTAGATATAATGCTTAACATGTTTAAATTGATGTAATTATAATTAAATTATGTTACATTTTTATATTTTATTGGTACTCAAATGGTGAAATAATGAAAGTTTAATAGAATTACCACTTAAAAATTTATTATATCATTTTTTTCTTTCTATTCATATAAAACAATGCCATATTTTCTAAAATATCGTACTTCGTGCGGAAAAATGTTCAAAGTGGATTTATTCCAAAATCTCTCCACAGATTAATTTAGTTTTTTGATTTTTCTCATCTATGAACATTGTTAATTCAGAATCTCAACTAATTTTCTATGTGTAAGACCTTTTTATTATTTATGTTTATTTATAATTATGTATTTAGTATATTTTGTCACGGTGGTACCTAAAATTTTAATTTTTTTTCTCCTTGTATTGTAGTGAAATTTACTTCTCGTAAATTTTAATACAATACTTTGATAATAGTATTCTCTTATCAGCATAATGCGACGGGAACGAATTCGGGCTTTATTTTTGAAATGTCATATATGCACATATTATTATTATTACAAATATCTAAAACAAAATGTCATAAATATCACCAATAAGAATATGTGCATATATTCTAATATTATTTCTACGGGTATTCATAATTAAATATAACATTGAAAAATGGAAATTATATCCACATAGTTAATTCAAAAATTTATAATTTTAGTGCTGTAAATTTTACAAGTGTGTTAATGAACATTGCAACCGCGTTCAATATGTTGCAGCAATGTTCCCAGTTTAAAATTGTAAAAAAATTAACAAATAAGAATGTTGCGAGTGCGTTGACGAACATTGCAGCAACGTTCTGGGCGCATTGAACGTTGCGGCAATGTTCCCAAACCAAAATTGTAGAAGTTAGTAAATGGGAATGTAGCGAGTATGTTAACAAACATTGCGGCAACGTTCTAAATGCGTTGAACGTTGCGGCAATGTTCCCCATTTAAAATTGAAGAAAGTAGGGAATGGCAATGTTGCGAATGTTGCGAGTGCGTTAACGAACATTGCGGCGGCGCCCTGAGCACATTGGACGTTGCGGCAATGTTCCCAAACCAAAATTGTAGTAGTAGGTGAATGGGAATGCTGCGAATGTTGCGGGTACATTACTAAATATTGTAGCAATGTTTACAGGCCATTCTACGTTGTGTAAATGCTTTTAGAATAAAAACACAGGAATTATTTATCGCAAGTAATAACAATAGACACCTTCTGCTTATGAGGTTCGCTATTATCACTTGTGGGTCTAAAAATGATTATAGATGCGTACAGGAACCACATTAGAAATTGGACTTCTCGCAAATTAAAAAAAAAAAAAAGATATAATAATAATAGTTAAAATTACGTATTCTGGGCCTAACAATTTTACATGCCTATGACAATGCAACATCAAAGTTGTAATTGTCACAAATGGAAAAAGGATAAATATACCTAAAACCAAACACTTTCCAACAAGGAAAAATTCATAAAATAGACCTAAGAGAAAAACAAGCTTTTCAATATAACTCGTGCTTTATTTTATCAAGTGCATATTATTATATTTGGCTATACCATTAAAAGAAAATAGAAACTCAGCATTATTGGCATAGTAACAGGCCCAGAGCTCACGCCTTTATCACGTGTTAAAAACCCTTAGTCCACAAAATATTTCCACCTGAAGTCTCTAAACGTTCATATAAAAGAACATCGCGGAAGTCAATTAATTGCAGTACAACTCTCATTCGCGAGTCAGCTCTGAAATTTTTCAGAGGCGTAAAAACGATTTGAGACGCCGGGACTAAGCCCGTCCGTGAGTCGGATTTTCAATTTTTGCAATCCACTACAGAGATAGTGATTAAAATTGGACGGACGAAAAGTTAAAGTGAATACTTCACGCCGACGAAGTCCAACGGAAGTCGTCTTTAATAAAAATGCAATAATTTGAAAAAAATCAAATTATTGAATTTTTGTCTTTTTGACCGGCCAGTCCGCACGTGTGGTGCCTGCGCTGTTTAGATTCGGTAGACCCGTAAGTGCATTCTTGTGCGCTACCATTTGACATTTTCGCGCTTTGATAAGTGTGTACATTTTTCCGCCCGTCGGATAGCAGCTCGACGCCTCGCTCTCGTTAGATTGCGACGGTATCATAAGCAGTAGAGTAAGTTTTTAAATATGTATCGTTCCTTCTTATCTTACTGTATTATTTTTATATTTTAAAGTTGAAATTTCTTTTGATAAAATAAATGTATTAAAGGGTTTTAATTGTTTTATTGTGTTTTATCCCTTAAATTTATTCTCTAATAACGTAACTTAGCAGTTTCTTTTAAAATAGGATACATGATCCCATAAAATAAACGGAATTTTTTTAATTTCGGCAGCTTGGTACCTCCAGGACATAATAGATAATAATTTTTATAATTAATATTTTTTCGGTTCGTAACATATTTATTTATTTATATTTATCGCATTATTTGTGAATAATTAGAATGTTTTATGCAATTTAAATTATGTTCTTTAGCAAAATAAGACTTTTACATCTGTATTCACTGTAAATGAAATTAATTATCTAGTTTAATTCAATTCTTTTTAAAATAATTTAATTTTATCAAAATTATCTAAAATTAATCATTTATTATCTTACATATTACTTTATTTTATGTAAGTTATCTTACTTTTTCACATTTCAAAATTTAAATAAAGAATATTCTAAAAAATATGTTTTTTTCTTCAATTTTCAACAGTGGAGCACAAATCCCCACTGTTTTTGAAAAGTCATAAAACCAGTATTTTCGAAAAACAAGCAAAATATCTATTTCTGTTTTGAATTGTAATTAATCAATCATGCCAAAAGTTGTGTTTGTACGTGTATTAAAAGTTCTATATAATAGAATAGTCAAAAAAAATTTACTGATATTAATGTTAACAGTAATCGAATAATTCCGTGATCGAAAAACAAAACCTGGATCACAACTCCCCACTCTCCCCTACTATTATCATTCATACTCGTACATGTTAAAAAAATTAATTTATTAAAATAGTTTTAGAAGTTATTTGCTAGTGGTAAAATTATAATGTTATTCATTACCTAATTTTATTTATTCCTGTAGTCATGTATAAACATTATTAAGTAATAAAGGTAAAGGGCGCAATTTATGTTTATGTACAAGCACTCTAAAGAAGAGCCTGGCAAATTTTTGACACTTTCCTTTGTAGAATATTTTCTGTAATACCTGTTGTGAATGCAAATACACGTCTGCGCACTTCAAGTTTTTACTATTACTACTTTAAAAACTACAGACACATATCAAAATTTTCGATTAAAGTTTAGAAAGAATGAAATTTATTCTTTAAACTAATAATTAATAATAATGGCTTGACAGGCACGTTTTTAAGAAGAGTAAAGTAATAAATAACCCAACAAAATAATAAACCGAGTTCAGTGTCTTTTTATGACTCATTTAATTTGGATTCTCAAATTTCGGCAGCTTCGTATCTTCTCTAATCTTAAAATTAGAATATTAATAATTTCCTTTTTGCGATAAATGGATTATTAAATTATATATTAAGTAACTGAAAATGAAATACCTTTGTCTTAAGGAGTCCGCATGCTGGATGGTGATGTAACGGATGCAGTCGAAGCCAGATCTTTGAGTTTAAATCCACAACATATTGATATTTATAGTGCATCTTGGGGTCCAGATGACGATGGAAAAACAGTCGATGGACCAGGTGAATTAGCTACAAGAGCTTTTATTGAAGGAATTACTAAGGTAATTTGTATATTTAAGAATTATTATTGTTTAAATAATTTTTAATTATTTTGTTAATAAGTGTTTCAGAGAAACTCAATTTGTTTACTAAATATTTAATTCCAATAAAAATTATTAAAATTGAAATTAAAAGATTTGAAAATGTAAAATGAGTATTTTTCTGCATTTAAGGGTCGAGGTGGTAAGGGGTCGATCTTTATTTGGGCGTCTGGCAATGGTGGTAGAGATTATGACAATTGCAATTGTGATGGGTACACTAACAGTATTTGGACACTTTCTATTAGTAGTGCAACAGAAAATGGTTTTGTACCTTGGTATAGTGAAAAATGTTCATCAACATTAGCTACTACTTACAGCTCTGGGTTATCAGGGGAAAAGCAGGTCATAACTACTGACCTGCATCATCACTGCACGAGTAGTCATACAGGAACATCAGCATCTGCACCATTAGCTGCTGGCATTTGTGCTCTGGCCCTGGAAGCGAATAAAAATTTAACATGGAGAGACATGCAGCATATTGTTGTTCAAACTGCAAAACCTTGGAATTTAAATTCTTCAGATTGGGTCACAAACGGCATTGGACGAAACGGTAATTGCTTTCAGACAGAAAATGAATTAAAAAATTGTTTACTCAAAATTTGAAGAAAACGGGAATTAATATTCATTCTGAAAATACCTAATGCTTTAATTAACTCTCCGTGCTGTACGCAGGGTTCGAGGACCCAATTACATTAATCTTACAAACTATTTACACAATAAAAACCTTAAATCTAAAACGCATCTTAAAACTAACTATTCCTTAACTCTATTTAAGAAAAAAATATATATCCCACTCTTAATCCGCCGTATTACATTATACACTCCATTCTTTCCTTTTTCAATTTTTCTAAATCATTCATCCATCTTTCACCTTTTCCACTCTCATCCAAACACCATCTCACTCTCTCCCCAATTCCTTTCTGCTCAAACACACCTCTCCAGAATATGCGCCTACTCCTCTCTCCCATACTTACATATTCTGCACAATTTTTTCTCCTCTCTCATCCAATATCTGCATTTATTCATTCCCTCACCCATTCTAAATTTACAAATTCTATTCCATTTCACATAATTTTTCACTCTCTCCAAATATTTCGATACCCCACCCCTCCTTTCCACCCTATACCACTTATTCTACCTTGATTTTACAATCTTTTCTACCTTTCTTCTCTATGTTTTTTACACCATGGCCCCAAAAAGTTCCTTCTCGTCCATGCCAATGCCTCTCTTATTGCTACCTTCCTCTCTTTTTCCCATCTGGACAAAACATCTCCTCCTCTATTCTCTCCATTTTTAATCAATCTCCAACACTTCTGTGCCAGTCGACTTCCTCTTCCTTGTTTTTTAAATATTTTTTTAAAAAAACTCTCCTTTCCTTTCTCACCAATTTCCTGTGTTCTTTGTGCCTTTAGTTATATCCTCTTTTTTCTATTCTACCGTTTCTCCATTTCTACCTTTTCCCCTATTTATTTAATAACTTCTTCCATTTCCTTCTTCAAACTTACTAATCTGCTATCCACTCCTTCTTCACTCTCCCTTTCTTTCATTCTCTCCTACATCCTTTTCTCAAATTCCACTAGCTTATCCACTTTGCATTTCCTTATCTTAATGCTTCTTTCTTTTGATATCCTTTGCTCCTCTTTTCCATTATTACCCGTAATCCTCTCCTTTAATTCTACAATCAACGGGGAAGTGCCCGAATCCGTTTTATCAGCCCCGTTGATTTTTCATCCGTTATTACATAATCTATTACTGAATTTCCCTTGCCCATAAATGTAAAATTCCCGTCCTTATCCCCGTTGAAGCGTTAAATTCCCCCTCAATTATTACCTTCTCATCTTTCCCATTTTTCATCCATTCCTCCAATATTCTCTAACCTCTTTGCTGTATATACCAAAATAGTTACTCCTTCTTCACCCATCTTTAATCTTCTCACAATAGCTTCTTCTTCCTTTCATTCCTCTTATCTTGCTTCCTCTACAATGACGAACTTTACACCAAAGTCATACCGCCAGCACTCCTACCTTTCATGTGATCCTTTCTTGCTTCCTGCATCATCCAGTTATATTCTCTGGGCAATCTCCTCTTCACCGCCTCCCAGTCCTTACCCTCCACCCATGTTTCACTTAATACTACCACGTGTCATTTTTTCAAGTCTCTTCTAAAACCCTTCTCATTATTTCTCAACCCAGACACATTCCAAAATACCCCATTCCAAAATTTTATCCCCCTAGCTTTTCTCTCCCCTCCTGTCTTTCCTCTGCTCCCAAAAACCTCTGTCTCTACTTTATTATTACCTCTCCTGTATCTTCATTTACCACCCACCTCTCTCCATTTATTTTTCAAATTCTTCTAGTTTTTTCCGTACCATTTGCTTTTCCTCTCTCCACGTATCTTTAAAATTTTTCCACATACTTTTCATTTCTCCAATTTCTTTCTTTATTTCCATTTTGAATTCCATCCACTCCTTTATCGAATCTTTTTCCCAATTTTTCCATTCTATCTCTTGATTCCACCCTTATTTTTCTTAATAATCCCAATAACTTCACACTTCGTTTTCAATTTCACTACCCCTGAGTCCCCCCCACTTTTCACATCTTCCGTTTCTGTCACCCTTTACTTGATGCAGCACTTATTTGCCAAGCCTTCAGTTTTTTAAACTGATCCTTGCCCCATTACCCCGAGTTTGTCAAAATTTAACTTTCTACCCCTCTTTTTTCTTATTGATTTAGATGTTTCTATTTTATTAACACTACCCACACTATTCGCTGCCACAGGAGTGCTAAAAACCTCACTATCTCTGTGCATCTTCTGCAGCCTAACCTAAAATTACCTATACTTTTCAACTTTATTTTTTCTTTCTTTTACTTTTTAAATTTTTTCCTACTCACAATATCCACACTTACCACACTAGACTGCACTTTGCACTCACCTCCACACCTTTCACACTCCTTTTAAAAATACCAGCTCACTATTTTACCCCTCCAACACTCACACCTTTATTTATCACTGATAACCTAATTTACTCACACATAAAGAAATACATTCATACACTGCACTAAAATGCACCTTCTACACACACTTACAACCCACCCTTAATTTTAAAAGTTACAAAATTAATAATTTATGGAAACACCAAAATTCCGCGTGTTCTCGATAACGATACCGGAAGCTCTATTCTGATAATACTTGAATAATTATTTTGCATGTTTATTTAAATACAATTTTTATATGTATATTGTTCAAAAAGTAAGCTAAAGATTATAAAACAGATGTATATAGATAGGCACTACTATTATCGCTCGTTTAGTGGAAAAAAGGACACGTCAAAAAAAAAAATTTCGGAAATTTTCGGTTATCATTGTCGAAAAAGTGTGAGTGTTCGAGGGGTTAGGGGAGTGAGCTAGTATTTTTATTGTAGTTAACAATTATAAATTGATTTTTTAATACAACTGGAATAAAATAAATTGGTTAGAGTTATTGGAATTTAAATATTGGTTAAAATGATTAAGGAAGGTACACCAGTTGTAACGCGATAAAAAAGGTCTTTTTCAGGAATTTTTTCTTAAGGGGTTACATGGGTCAAAATGGCCAAAAAATGTATGTCTTTTTATGATTTTTTTTCATATAATAGATAAATAAATTATTTTATTTCAGCACTTAGTTACTTTAAAGAAAACTATAAAATAAGTAACTTATAAAATATTTGTTAATAAATAATCAAAATTCAGCGAATGGCAACAGATTCTATGAGATCCCTTCCAAAATAAAAAAAAATTCAAATATTTTCTATTAGTAAGTGAGTTTAGCTCGTAATGGAAAGAAGGATTTAAAAAAATTAAAATTTGAATTTTTGGCAGACTTTTTTGTCACAAATTACGATTTTTGGCCCTATTTATTTATATAAAGGTCGAATTTTCGTTTTATTTCATCGGATTCGTATGAAAATCTTTTCTTTTGGGTTTTTGCGGTCGCTGATTACGAATACGGTGTCAGTATTTTAAAATTAAAAATGACGGATCCAATATGGCGGACTGAATAATTAAAAATCAAATGCACTAGGTGCTGTCGAAGCAAAAAGCGTTTTCGAATATTCTCTCTCTCCTAGAATGTTACTGAAATTATCTTAAAACTTTAGGAAAGTATTCTTGACATGTTATACTATTAAACGAATTTTTTTTTCGTCTTGGCCCAGGTAACCCCTTAACGAAACATGGAATTTTTTTAAATCTTATTTAAGTATCTGTTTGAAACTTTAATCAACAACAACAAAAAATTTTTTATTAAAAGCTTTCAAGTGCAATGAGCCATCGAAAGTAAGGCCTTCGGGAAAAACATGAAATGAGCTGACCAAAATTCCTTAAGTACAGTTTATCTGAAATGAAAATCAAATTGATTTTCTTTTTTTATAAAATTATCTAATTCACAATCAAAGGGTTTAAAAAAATATACATATTTAAGTTACTTTGACTTTGTTACTTTGACCCGACCAAAAAATACGCTTTTTCAACAATTTTTATTGAAGAATAGAATTTTTTTTAAGAAAATTAAAATACAGTATGGTATTATACCACTCTTGAACTGCAAAAAAATATTTTTTTTTTTTCAAAAATGTCGGTTTGACAGATGATAGGCGGAGTGCTTCAAAAATGTATCGCCGTGCGGTGGGCACTATAACTCGGGCCAAATTTGAGCTAGTTCAAAATAAAAAACAACATTAGTTTCTGCAGCTCAAAATCTAGCGAAATACGTATCCGTTTTTAAAAAATACAATTTTTGGAAAATGGAATCGATTTGAACGAAAAAGTGCTTATTTTTTCCTTTTCATTACTTAAAGTTGTCTAGAAAATTGAAATGTTAATATTTCAAAAAATCCTTACGCTAGATAATTATATATTATACTAGATAATTATATCACAAACAAAATAAAAAAAAAACTAACAGCATCCATTGAAATTTGTGGCAGCTAAAGTGCTCACCGATTTTTCAAATGTAGTTTTGAAAAAAAACGTTTAAAGTTTTTTTAACAGTTTGGTCCTGATTAAAAATGGAGGGATTACACGTGTAAAACTCACAGTTGTCGGTGACAAGTTATCGATTTGGCTCAAATTTTTTAGGTGTATTCTATCTTTAAAAATACTCAACTAGCCAAAGTTGCAAGCCCCTATCTCATAAAGAACACTCACAATCGTTAATTTCCTGAAAAATGACATCTTTCAAAATGAAGATTGAACAATCCATTTCTGCTTGAAAAAATGTAAAATTTGGTCAAAAATAAAATTGGAGAAGTACTAGTCGATGGAAAATTTTCCAAAGAATCCAATGCCGTTAGAATTTTTGAGCTATCTCTAAACGCATGCGCAGTAGATTAAAAAACTGTTTTTTTTAATTCATAACTCAAAAACACCTATTTCGATTTGGCTTCAATTTTTAGGAAAGACTGTTGAAAAGAAATACTTTAAAATGGTTATACCTAAAATTTGGGTATTTTAAGCTTTTAACCATTTTTATGCAAAATAGTGAGCTAATTCAAATTTTTTCAAGGTTTCCTTACAGTATTTGCTTTTTGTTTGCATTTGAAGTTATATATAAAAAAACTAAGTCCAAATTCAAAATCCTCGGAAAATTTCCAATCAGTTATTGAAGCTATATATATTGAAGCTTAATTTGTATTCATTCTAAACAAAATTTAACAGAAATTAACGATTGTGAGTGTTCTTTATGAGATAGGGGCTGGATTTATATGTGTAAATGATGCATACTAAGTTTCAAGTTAATCGGATTGATGGTTTTCGAGTAATTGTGGTCATGGATTTTAAAAATGTCATTTTGAGAAAAACACATTTAAAGTTTCAACTTATTTTTTTATCCAGATGAGATTTTTTTTGATTTTACAATGATTCATCAATTCTTGATCCAATCCATTAATATAAAATACTTCATAAAGGGCTTGTTGGATGCGGAATTACGTCAGCTTTCAATTGGTAGTTTCAGAATTGGAATAACTTTATTTATTTGTGAAATATTTCATTTTTTATTAGCATTAATTAATTAATATCGCGAAAATAAAAAAAGGACATCTCTATATTTTATGTAGTGATAATACACATTTTTAACTTAAAAAAAATAAAAAAAAGACTGAACTTAACAAAAATGTCAAACAAATTTTTAATTTTCAAAAAAGGTTCAAATTTAGAATTTTTTGAAAAATTTTTTGCTAAACTTTGTGCAAGTTACAGCCCGATCCATTCAACTTTTTTTCAACTTAATACGCTACAGGAATTTTACCCCAAATATAATTTTTCAGAGACACTTTTAAAAACACGGACTTTAAAAAAATGTCAACAAAAATTACTTTTATCAGTTTTTGCAAAATTTTATATGAGTAAAGTGAAGAAAAATTTTTAGTGAGGTAGGGCCAACAAGATTTATTTTCAGTTTTATAAGTAATTAATTAAAGTTTTAATTATTCTAACCAATAACTAAATATTACTAATTCTTACAAATATATTTTATTCTAGTTGTAATAAATAAATAATTTAAAAATAATAGTATTGTACAAACCGAAAAATTCCGTAAAAGACTTTTTAGCCATGTCTTTTTTCAACTAAACGTTTAACAAATATTAATTTAATAATTATTATTTTAATAATAAATTTAACATTTAACACGTTTAATCAAATATTTAAAAATTGTAATAAAATTAATTTTTTTTCTGCTTACTAAATTTAAATACAAATATTTAAGTGCTCTTTTAATATAAGTCACATGAAATATTTGAACTATAAAAGACTCTAAATTATTAAAATACGCATATCCTTGATTTAGTTGCATGTTTAAAAGAGAAATAACACTTATTTTTTTCATATTACAAAAGAATTTTTCTTTACTATTACTTATTTTGTTTATATTTATAGTTAGTCATAGCTTTGGGTACGGATTAATGGATGCGGCTGCAATGGTACGATTAGCTCGCAAGTGGAGGACGGTAGCTGAGCAACATAACTGCGAAGTATTGGCATCTCAAGTAGGACGGTTAGTTTGTCACTTTAAAAAATAAAAATTTAATTGTATTTCCTTAATATGTTAATTAAAAAACGTAGATTATTGAAAATTATCTCTGATGTCTGTATCTGTTGGTACTCCACACAAATAAAATGGATTCAACATTTTTCCCGTTAGACATAAATGAGAGATTCTTCTACAATCGCCCCAGCCCAAAAAGTGAAAGTTTTGGGATAGGCTTGATACTTTGGTAAATTGTTGTCCTATATGAAAGTAATAAATCCCTAAAACATTAACTCATTAAAAAAAATTGCAGAAAGTAGAGGGGCTTGAAGTTATTTTTACAAAATTCACATCAATCTTTGATTTTTTTCTTGTCGGATTTGGTTGATCGACTGTTTTGCGAATTTGACAAACACTCGCGAAACACTTACTTTTATTAAAAGAACGTAATAAATGGAGGAAAACTGTTAAAAAAGCTATTGAAATTAGTTAATGGATAATTAAATAGTAAATTTTGTAAGGCTTTTATATTAAATTAACTATAATAATTTCCGCATTCATTCATTCATTCCGTCTGTCCACACTTGAAGTTAGTCGTATTTTGTTCCTTTTGTTTTTCTAAAATTTTGACAATTCTTGATTTCGTAATATTTTATGGTTAACGCGACGGATATTTTTATTCATCGTCATTAATTAAATCATATACTAAGTGACAGTTTAAAGTAAAAAAAAAATTGTTCATTGTGGGGTTGGAAAGAGGCTTTGAGAGTTGAAAGAATGCATGAGAGGTACCTTAGATGGACAATGGGAGTGAGTAAGAGTTGCCCAAGATACATGCTGAGGGAGGAGTTAGAGAGGGAAAAATTAGTCGTCAGGCAGAGAAAGCGTGCGTGGGGACTGGAGGAAAAATTAAGGGAAGGGGAGTGAGTAGTCTGGCACAGACATGTTGGAGGACGATAAAACAAGGAGAGGAAGTGGGGGTGAGGAGTATGAATAGTTGGGAGAAAGGAAGGAGACAAGCTCTAAGGGATGGGAAGGCGGGAGGAGATAGGGATGATAATAAAATGGAAGGATGGTCAGTAAGAGATAGGGAGGAAAGGTGGGCGAAGATAGTGTGGATGAGATGGTGTGTTGGATTTTGTGTGAGAATGGACAGGGTGAAAGGTGGATGAACGAGTTGGAAAAGCTAAGAGGGAGGGAAGATATAGGAAGGCCTCTAGTAAATGGATAGAGTACAAAACTTTTTGTCTGGGAACATCTTCTTTATCGTTTTGTAGTGTAGCGTTAAGTCTGACGAAGCCAGAATGGGCATCATAGTACTGGAACGGGAAACGGAAGCCCGGGCTCTTGGCGGATATTATTTTTTATTGTTATTTTGCGTTAGGTTATTAGTGTGTAAGGATAGTTTAAGAAATATTGTACGTAGAATTAAGTTAGTGAATTGTAAATAGGTGTCTCGAACCCTACTGTTTGTAGGGAGAGTAAATAAAGATATAAATAATAATGAATAATGAAAAAATAATGAAAAAAATAATAATTATATGTTAAAATGTTATAATTGTCTGTAATAATGATTATATACAAAAATCATATATAATATAATAATTTTATAAATCCTAATAAAAATTATATTATAATAATTCAAACTTTTTTCTCTATAAATACCAAGTAGCAAATATACTGGTGCTGCACACAATAAACAATTTTTTTTTTTACTTTAAACTGTCACTTAGTATGTGACCTAATTAATGACCATGAATAAAAATATGCGTCGCGTTAACTATAAAATATTACAAAATAAAGAATTGTCTAAATTTTAGAAAAACAAAAGCAACAAAAAAACGACTAACTTCAAGTGTGGACAGACGGAATGAATGAATGCTGAAATTATTATTAACCATAAAATTTTACAAAATCAAGAATTGTCAAAATTTTAGAAAAACAAAAGCAACAAAAAAACGACTAACTTCAAGTGTGGACAGACGGAATGAATGAATGAATACGGAAATTATTATATATAATTTTAGAAAAACAAAAGCAACAAAAAAACGACTAACTTCAAGTGTGGACAGACGGAATGAATGAATGAATACGGAAATTATTATATATAATAATAATAATAATAATAATGAAAATAATAATAATATAATAAACATTTGAGTATACATTTGAGTTAAATTTAAAAAATTAGTAGAAGTTAAATAATAAAAAATTCACATTCTAGCTCAAATTTCTAAAAATTAATGAAAAATAATATATAATTTATAATTATTTACAATTATATCGGTTTGTTTCAATGCAAGGAAACCAATTATTTTATATTTAAACTTGAATTTAAATAAATACAAAATTTTTCAGCTAAAATGGGAATTTTTTTTTTAACTTTCATTAATTTATTAAATTTACCTCAAATGTATACTTTATATATACCAATCGATTCGTTTTCTTTCAAGGAATACAATTATTTCATATATAAACTTCAATTTAAAAAATCACAAATTTCATTTGATACCGGTCACTGTGTGTTGAGGGAAAGTGACGAGCTCAAAGGTTAACCTAGAACGAAAAAAATGTCGAACGAGCAGTGGCCAGGGAGAGTTCCTGGTGACGGGCACTCGAACCCAAGCAGGGTTCAGAGCGCTGTCCCCAAGAGTCTCCCAATAATTCGTGGGGCGACTGCTGTCGAGGTTAAATTTTAAGAACCATGAACAAAAAATAATTCCTACGATTGACAATTTGCCCTGAAAAGGACTAATTGTCAATGTGTTTTCCGTTTAATAGTTGTCCTGAAAAGGACAGATTGTTGTGTTGGTGTGTCATGGTCTTTCACGGCCAGTGAAAGAAGTAACTAGTCGATGGTTTCCCAGAATAAAATAGTATTTATTCAAAAAATTTCCCTGTGGAGAACGGCAGGCAGTTGACGGTTGGCAGGCGAGTGAGAGAAGTTGGCGTCGGAAGGTGACGCGGCGGCTTGGGTCTCACGGCAGTGAGACGCGTGGAGCGGCAGCGTGGCTGGAGTCACGCATAACGTCACGAGTGACGTGTTGCTACGTTGAGAGTTGGCGAAGAAGAGAGAGCGAGTCACAGAAACTCGCTGTATTTATGTAGCGCGGAGAGAAGAGTCGCGCGAGGTACCCTCTCTCCAAATTGTGAGGGCCAATAGAGGCCTTATTTTACCCCCACCATGCGGAGCATGTGGAGTGCGGAGAAGGGGAAGAAGCGAGAATCAGTCGAGCGCGGAAGCTCATAGCGACAAGACGTCGCTATAATTGCAGAGCGAGAGAGAGAGAGAGAGAAAGATTTACTGTGCCTTTATGCCATGCCGTCAACTTTGTACCGAACTCCGGTACAAATAGCTAAAGTTTTAAACTAAGTTAAAATATATTATAATCATAATATTTCTTAAGGTTATATTTGATATTTTACCGAATATATTGTAAAAATATATTAGTCAAAATTATAATATATCTTAATAAATATTATGTGCAATGATAAAATTATTATTCCTCCGCACAAAAGTGGGTGTCAAAATGATATTTTAAAGAATCTTCCGGTGTTTTCTGATGTTTGATAAATTTAACAATAAAATGCTAAATTTTGTCAAACATCATATAACCCGGAATATAACCAACTATAACACATTGCCAAAATGTGACTTTTTGATTTTTTAACTTTCATTAATTGTGTGTGTGTGGATCCCTTTTTTGTTTAGAAGATAACTTTAACAGGTTTTAATGGATTTAGATAAAATTTGATAGGCTCATTTATCATATTAATATCTTAAATCTGACCAAAGAATTTTGAAAAATACCCAAAAAATAAAAAATTATCGTCTTTTTTCCAAAGATTTTTTTTTTTAAACGAAAAAATTTTTAAATAGAAAAATTAAAGGTTGTATATAATAAAATTGTATTCCTTACGTCAAGACAAATCGATCGGTATATATAAAGTATAGTTTTAATTTAAATTTAAAGAATTAATGAAAGTTAAAAAATCAAAAATTCACATTTTGGCTATAAAATTTTGTGATTATTTAAGTTTATAGATGACATATTTGTATTCCTTACATGAAAACGAATCGATTGGTATATATAAAATTTACATTTGAGGTAAATTTAATAAATTAATGAAAGTTAAAAAATAGAAAATACACATTTTAGCTGAAAAATTTTATAATTATTTAAATTCAAGTTTAAATATAAAATAATTGTGTTCCTTGCATTAAAACGAATCGATATAATTGTAAATAATTATATATTATTTTTCATTAATATTTAGAAATCTCGGTTAAAATATGAATTTTTGATTTTTTAACTTTTATTAATTCTTTAAATTAAACTCAAATGTTTATTATATTATTTTTGTAAGTTTATTTCAATGTTAATGCTTTCTCTAGGAGGAAGCAAATTTTTTTGCTGATCGTAACACAGAAAATTAAAAGGCATTAAAATAAGCTGCAACGCTTATTATTTTAATCCAATTTTGCTTATTTTAATCCATTTTGGTATTCAAAAAAGCAAAATTGGATTAAAATGATAAGCGTTGCAGCTTATTTTAATGCCTTTTAATTTTCTGTAAAAGAGGAAGCTAAATGTTCATGTAATGAACATCTGAATGTACAACTTGTTTTTGTATTGTGTTAGGCTGCAGACGGCGTCATAGTCGACGCTTCGATTTTGAGGCTCTTTTCGGTTGCAGACCTAGCGCACTCCCTAGTGATTTAAAACCAACAATTAAAAAATTATCTGAAACTTAAAGTACTAATGTAATGGTTATACCTAAAATTACCTTAAAAAATCAAAATTTAAAAAAATGGCACTATTTTCAACAAAAAAGTTGAAAAATGACGTTTTTTCCTGACATTTTATTGTTTAAACACATATTAAAAATTTATTTTTTCAAATTTTTTAGGTATAACCACTCAAGAACAATTTTTTGAACAATATGCAAAAATTGGTTCAACCAATTCATATCTACTACAAATTTTTTTCCAATTTTTCTCATCCCTTAATACAGTAATGTATTTA